CGACCGATTATCGGTAGCGGCAAAGACTCCTGCAGGAGTGCTTTGAGCTCCCTTGGTGTTAGACTGTGTGACCCGGGTGGTACTTCGAGGAAAGGGTGCACTGTGGTGAAGACTGGTCGTAGGGGAACGTCGCTGTTGAAGGACCACTGGTGGTAAAAGTAGGAAGCAGACCACGCTACTGGATAGATTTTACCTGACTACCCTCGTGTAGCGAAAGACCGAGTAGTGCGTTGAGGACGCCTACGGCTGTTGTTCAGTCGCTTATTAGTGTCCTTAAGAGCGTGACTGGAAGAAAGTGAGGACGAGTCTAAGGAGACACGTACCGAGTTTCTGGGTTCGACAGTGCTTGGGTCGGTTTGTGACGTGCTCGTGCGGTGGGACTGAAGAGGACACGGAATGGTTAGTGTCATTACACTCTACTGACGGTACTCACCGCCACCTGGGATCGGGTGGTTCCGAACGGTCGGTCCGGCAATGAGTCGCTAGTATTGCAGGTGGGAGGTTAGCCAGTAAGTCACGCCTGGGGCGTACCGCTGAGGTGGGACGGGTCATGGACTCATTCGTTGTATGCTTACGTCATCCTTGTCCGGTGTTGTAAAGTATAGGGTATGTAGGTAGGCCTTAGTTTTAGCGTCAAGTCTAAACGAGGGGGGCTTTTGCCATTGGGTCTCGAGTCTTACATACTAAGTATACTACGGAACTGAGAGTTTAGAAATTCTAGCCACAGCGAAGAATATAGTGAAGCGTAGTTGCTGTGTATAGCAAACTGCTTGCGTCCTTTAGCGCAAGGAAGTTGGAGCGATTGTTGACGACTACCCCCTCTTTATCTGTCTCTTCTTCCATGTTTGTCTTGTGTCTGTGTTCGTACTCGTCTCTAATTGGACCGTAGACCAAGGGGACGATCGGAATCGAAACCCTGTCAGTGGGAATGTCACGTGAGAGGAGGGGACGTTTATTACTGTCTAAAGCTTAGTGGGACACCGACTGGAGCGTACCAGTGTCGAGATGGGGTCACGCCATAATCGAAAGAGAAGGTAGGAGGAGCGGTGACGACGCGCGCTAGTGTATGGTCTGTTAAGTCTAGGCCTGGGACTACCAAGCACTGGCCTGGGCAGCACGCAATCGCGTATTAGTATGACGGTCTCGTCGCGAGACGGTCTTCAAATGAAGTGTAATTTCGAGTGTTACTATATTTTGGTTTTTGTCGCCGCCTTACTACTCTACCCATGTCTTAAAATATTTAACGATGTTGTTGGTAGTTTATGTGTTATTTACGCGTTTATGCATTAGTGTGTAATAGTTGCTCTAATGTCGGTTGTATTAGGCTTTCTCTATTTTGTCTTAGGGACCGTTTGTAGTGTACACAGACGTACTGTATCTGTAGATCGTATCTCTTGTCTTGGAGTACCGTCTATCCTGCGCCAGGAGCCTGGTTGAGCATGCGGAAGTGTTGTGTTCGTCAAAAATGGTAGTAAATGTAAAATGACCAGAGCGACTAGACACCCCACACCATGTGTAATAATATATATATATACACACTAGGCTTGGGCGGTATGACGGTATACCAGGGTATTTCGAAATACCGTCGGTATGATTTTCAATACCGTGACGTCACAGACTGTGCGCCAAATCACAGATGCGTTTCATTCTATTACACTGACACGGAGTTTTGATAGGGACGACATTGGTTGTAATGCACAGCACAAGCCAGCAGAGGGCAGGGGAGGGCAGTCCGTCTTTCCCGCTCTCAGAGCTCAGCACAGAGCTGAGCTGAGCAAGATGGCGGCAGCATTTGCCGGCCCCGAACTCGGACAACTAGTAAAAAAGAAAAATGCCTCTGCGCCTGTTTGGGACTATTTTGGGTTTACTCGTCGCCAGTGAGTTCATCCAGCACAACGAGAGACAGAGGCACTTCTTTGGGAATGTTTAAGACTGGTTATGCAACTGGTTGATGGTTTTGTAGTGGAGGTCGGACGGTTTTAAAAACGAAAGCATTAACGTGCTAAACATTCACGCGAGTAATCCAATGAATCAAATGGAAATAAGGTTTTTAACACATGCACGGAATAATATTGCCAAACTAGTTAGTGAATATGGCAAACTTTATTCAATAAGTCAAGTATTTACTCCCGGAAAATGTTTATGTATGATGATATATTGTTAACTTAGCTCACAATGGAAACAACGTCGGACATCTACAAACGCGTCCTGTATCCGATCTCAAAATGTGCCATTTGCACAATGTGTCATGTATGCAGCCCTTGTTTTGCACTTGCGCGCATGTCGCGGCACTTTGCGAGCGTCTACCGGCTCGGGCTGCATTTTACACCGAACATATAATATACCGTTCGAAACATCTATTTGCCGCCGAACGCCACCTCGCTCAAGTCGACCCAAGTCATACCGTCATATACCGTATACCACGGTATGATGTCAGCAAGGTATGACGGTATGAAAAAAATGATACCGCCCAAGCCTAGTCTACAGTGCATGTTGCTATATTTTCATAGATTTCTAGTGATGAGACTACAGTAAATAATGCTGCGTCTGACTTTTTTACGACCCTATCTGGTTCATTTGAAATCAAGTGAACTACTTTAAGGATTAGTTTTCAATTCTGGCAATGTTAATACATTTAGTTGCTGTCATATTCAGGAAATGCCCAAGATGTCATTAATCGTGTCTGGGAAAATGTCTAGTTGTACGGCTTGTTAGACCAAAACCGTCATAAAATTAGACCCAAAAGGCTGAACGCCGCAGTGACAAGCTGAACTGCGACTGAGGACTGATGCCATCCCAGAAACCCAGACTGTGTTTGAAAAAGGTGTCATTTTCAGCAGTGGTAGGAAAACAAGTTTGGTAGCACTGGAGGATTGGATTTCATACTTTTACATCAGACATTCACTTGGAAAGCTCTTTCTAATGACAAGACTTTTCTCCGTGTAAAAAACCTAAAGTGACAGCACTCAAAGTCCTTTTAAACTCCCCCAGAATAAGTTTGACAACTTGAGTTTCTTTCTTTTATATCAGACATAGTGCTGCCCTCAAAATAACACTGTGTCTGTCGATGGAAAACATCAAAAGACACCACTCAGACGGGGTCTTCATGTAGCAAACTTCATGTAAAGTACAATATAATATTATTTTTACATATGTATTATTTTTTAGTAGAAGGTTGCAATAGATATGACTATATATGGAAGTAAGTAAAATTTGTGACGGTACTTTTGTTTTACTTTGGATGTTCCCTGATATTCCCTCACTCACCTTCGTTGCCGCATTGATACACTGCATGTATTGTTTGGCCAGGTCGGAACACCTTAGGGTCTGGTCTCCGTTATCCCTGTAGCAGGATAGAATCTGAGCCTGCAGGCCAGAACACACCGGATTCATATTGCGAGACCTGCCGAAAACACAGGGGTAAACAAAGATGGAATCATGAGTGATGTTAGTAGAATTTTAATTACAGATTTTAAAGCACAAGGACCCAAAGATCATTATGACAAACACAAATCCAAGAGGATAGCGCTTGAAAGGATTACTAGATACACTTATTTCCAAAGTAGTTCTCGATGGAAAAAACATAAATAAAAACAAACAGGTCTGCCTTGAAAAAGAGATCGATGATCTCAATGGGACCACCTGGTTAAATAAAGGTGTAATAATAAATAAAAAAACAAAACAAATTACAACATACATTTCGAAAGACATCCTCTATGCTCCTTTTTTAAACTCCCTTACTTCAAAGTGAGCATCAACACTCTTGTAAAAGTGTTGTTGCCCCTAACCTTAACCCTTTTTATTGCTTTGCCAAATGCACTGATTTTTAAATGTACTGTCCATTATTTTGGCTTGGATATTTTTGGGTATTTATTAGCTGTATTAAATACTTTAAATACCCCAAAAACTTGCTATGTAACAGCATGAAATACACAGTTAGAGATTATCTGGGGAACATTTTGAAGCCAAAAATCTGGATATTTTTCTTAGGAGTTGGTATGAAATAAGACTGATTTGCTACTTTTTTATTAGCAACCTGAAAATTTAAGCTGATGCAAAGTGCCTTAAACCTCCATTATTTCTAATAACCAGCAGGGGCCAAACTTCCATAGGTAAAAAAGAGGTACGATTATATAGAAGTTGACATTCTTATATACAGTCTAAAGCAGGGGTTTTCAAAGTGTGGGTAGGTGAGCCTCCCCTCAGAGAACATAACAACAGCCGCGCCCCCCCTCCCAATTATTATTGCTGTTATTATTATTGTTGTTGCTATAATGCAGGGGTATTCAATTGCATTTCAAAGAGTTCCAGTAAGAGAAAATGTAATGAAATGCTCTGTTTTCGCTGTCTACCTTCCGCCATTTGAAATTACTCTTCTCTCCTCTTGTCTCGTCTGTGTTTGAATCTATCGTGCTGACTGCACCGATTTGATTGGCTGAGTAGCGTCACCTCCTTAAAACATTAAACAATAACTTTTTAAAACCTTTTTATTTTTATGTTTTAAACATATTGTATAAAACTCCCCCACTACTTGGACTATTCCTTGCACCCCTATAGAATAAGCCCGAATGGTCTCAACCATATTGCATCAGTAACGTGCACTTGTTATTATAACAAGATTGCAAGGACGCTGGTAGCGATCGGAAAATTGAGTGTTGTTCAGTTTGTGTGTTGTGGAACATGCGTGTCCGTGCATGAAAATATACCACACACCCAATTACAATTGCATGTTCAATTCACTACCCTGGAAGTTAATACAGTTGTTAAAGTTGGAACAGCCTGTGGACAGCCGTTCTTCCTTGCATGTCAGTCGCCGACACCTTCTTACAGAGGACAGGCACATCTAGCTGCAGCACGACCCGTATATTTCCGCACACCGTGTTCTCAAGACATGTTTTTTTTAACATTTTCAACATGGTGGATAAATCCTTATATGCTCCCGGTAACATACTGAACGTCAACTTTGCCTCCTTATTACACTCACCCCTACTTTAGTGGGAACAATGAGTCTGCGTCTTTGATGCACAGAGGAATAAACGCAGATCATCCTCTGGCTGCAGCCTTGACCGGTACTTGCTTTTGATCAAAGTCAATGCGGAAAACCTGCACTCACAAAGGTAGGTGGAGGTGAAGGGAATGAGCACTTTTACAGCCTTTTTGGCGAGGTGGGGGAACTCGGTCTCCACAGACAGCCACAAGTGGGCAAGTGTCACTTTACTCGTCTTTTTCTCGTTCTTTTGTGTCTCACGCTGCGCCTCCCCTGAAGCTCTCTGGCGCCCCCCAGGGGAGGCGCGCCTCACACTTTGAAAACCGCTGGTCTAAAGGAGATTACCCGGACATTCATTATTATTTCAAAGTTTGAAACCGAGAACTTTTATCTTCTTTAAATGTGAGAAAAACAACACATTTACTCCCACAGCAATCGTAACAATGCATGACTTCAAAAGAACTGCATGACTGGTACAGTTGGCTTTGTCCAACTTGATGCAAAATAGAAAACTATTAAAAAAGAAGAAAAAAAACATGCAAAAGAAAGAAGTCTGATTAAAAGAGGCAAGACAAAGGAGAAAAACAATTAACAACCTCAACCACTGACACCGGTTTAACAACCTATGGCGTGTGTGGTGCGTGCTTCTTTGCAAATCATGCAATTAGGGCTAAATCACATTTAATTGAGTGGGTAACATTGTTCTGATCAAATACAGCAGAAAAGTGAGCCTTGAGAGACAGAATCAGCCGTGCTTGATTTGATATGTGGGCTGTATTATAATTGGTCTTTGCCTGTCTATCTGTGTGATTGTTAACTATGACAGGCCTGCTGCTTGGGTGCCCTGCTGTAATGGATTCTTACTGATTGAAGCAGAGACAAGCGGGTTCAATACACCCACGAAAGGCACATGCACAGATGTACACACCTACACACAATTTGTAGTACACCGTTAACATGAAAGCACCACAAACTTGTGCACACCTCCAGACATGCCGACTTGTCGATCTTCTCTGTGCAGTCCCCCCTGCGTTTCTCAGTAAGGAGCATTTAACACCAGTTTAATTGAAAGCCAAATTAAAGGGTCTTTATGGCTTTGATTCACAAAGAAGCGCTGACCCCCGTTTCAATTACAGCATATCAATATCCACAAAGGCACACACGTGCACTCTATCATCTGCAACAGTATCATGAATGCAAAGACTGAGTTTATCTGAGCATGGGTGATAGAGGTTAAAGAGAAAAAGGAACAGAACAAACATATAAAGGAAGGAAGTAAGATAAAACGAGGAAAGGGAATGAATAAAGCTTTCTTTCGTATTTATCACAAGGCCCATTTCCAAAAGATGACAGCCTATCCGATTACTCCCCCCCCCCATACCACCTCCAATGGTTTATCTTCCCTGTTTGATCTGTCTTTTCCCACTTTTTGTCTCTGTATTCCCTCCAACTCCTTTCTTAATTCTCCCTCGCTCATCCCCCCTCCTTTTCGTCACATTAACAACATAGAGAGGACGACACCAAAGCACGCCATCTTTATCTCTCTCGCCGTTTGAGGCCACTGAAGATAAGGAACTTTCCTTTAATTTGAAATAAATGGCCTTCATCAGGGAAAGCCAAAGTCTCCTGATAGCGCTGTGTTGGTTTATTAAAGGCGCTTGGAGCAGAAAATTGGCTCGGTCGCAGCGAAAGCTAAAGCCCTCTCCACATGCCACACCAAATTGAAGGTGAGGTCTTAAATCAACAATATTAACTGAGCCGCTTACACAAATAAATAAATAAAAGGAAGTGAGAGAGAGCTTTGGTTTTTTCGCCGGAACGAGCTATAGCAGCATCCCTGACAAGCCATGTATTTTCTCTTGAAGTGAATGTGTGTATGTGCTGCGAACGCACTTTATTGTGAGAGGGAGCAGTCATTTTTTGGGAGAGTTCTCCACGCATCTGTGAGCGGTAAATATGACAAACAGTAAGATTAGTGTCTTAATTAATGGTGTGCCCATTATTTTTTATCTCCGGCAGCGAAGACGGAGGCGGTTGGAACACCGAGGCCTCAGACTTCAGGACCACGCAAACCAGCTTACCGAAACAAAGAGAAATGAAAGGGGAAGCAATTTGTAAATGGAAAAGACACAAAACACACCACCAACTACAAAAGCCTCTGGCAAAGCTACGAGACTGATAAGAAAGATGCTTTTTATCGCCTCTAAACCATGCATCTCTTAGAGTTAGCGATGTTTTTTTTGTGTTTTCCTTACTGGCTTTAGCTATGCATATGAGGCATTGTTTGTCCTGCATGCCATTTTATTTTTATCCTGTCAACTATAAAGTATTGCTATCTGTACTGTGTTTCAGGCAGCTAATTAGAAAATGGTGTTAACATCTCAAAAGAAGTAGCGCCCAAGGAAAATTAAGAGAATCCAATATTGTTAGTGACTAGAGGGCTACAATACCGACAACGTTTATTATGTGTATGTTCTAGACTTTTTGTTATTTTGCTTGTCTCTGGCTGTGTATTTAAAAAAACGAAAACACTTTAAAAAGTGTTGAAGCTCTAAAACTAAACCCATTGTAGTTATTGTAGCACCCTTTCAATCACTTATAGAGACTAGTGCGCTATGCACTCTGCCAATACCACATAGTATTCTCCAAACAAACAGCAAAAGCGTATATAGCCCTAACCCTAAATGATAACCCTAACCCTCTCAGATTGAGCGGTTAGAGGACCACTTTAGGACAGGATATTTATTTGGGAAATGGGTCGATTAACTGAAGTCATATTTAGGTCAGACCTACCATTGTAGGAGAAATGTAAATGTAATCTGATTGAATCAAATGTTTCTGCTAAGAAGAATCCATGGTGGTTCTGTTGAGCGTAGTTGGTTTCATTATTAAAGGTTATTGAATCCATCAGTAGTGAGGTCGGAGTTCAAGTTTGCTATCCCAACCTCACAACATACTGTACAGCCCAAATAAATGTTCTTTATTTTTATAGGGTAATAAAAATCTGCTATTTTCGAACAATAAAAAAAGAGGGTGGTTGGTAGGAGCCATCAGTTTGTCTTTGATCTTTAGTTTTTCACAAAAAGCCTTGCAAGAACTGTCTTAATAGCACACACTACACGTTTCTAGGGTCATGCATCTACATTGACAATCATTAAACCATGGCATTTTGTCTGGTGGTTCTCGTATCCCTGAACAACTTGAGCCTCAACTGTCAGGATTAAAATCATGTTTGATATTCTGTTTAACACTCGGCTACATTCACACACTACAACTATTGTGAAGTCCTCGTCCGACCTCTATTGTCAAGGACATTGCTGTTGTTGTAGCGACTGCAGTCTTTTCTGCAATAGTCTGCAACCTGGGTGTACAGGGATTTTACAGAAAACGCATATTGGTTACATCTGCCAAGCCAC